TGGCTGTGTGAGTATAGAAGGATGTACTATAACGGGTTATTATAGTGTGACCCACATCCACACAGACACAGTTTGGCTGTGTGAGTAAAGAAGGATGTACTATAATGGGTTATTATAGTGGGACCCACAGTCACACAGACACAGTTTGGCTGTGTGAGTAAAGAAGGATGTACTATAACAGGTTATTATAGTGTGACCCACATCCACACAGACACAGTTTGGCTGTGTGAGTAAAGAAGGGTGTACTATAATGGGTTATTATAGTGTGACCCACATCCACACAGACACAGTTTGGCTGTGTGAGTAAAGAAGGATGTACTATAACGGGTTATTATAGTGTGACCCACATCCACACAGACACAGTTTGGCTGTGTGAGTAAAGAAGGATGTACTATAACGGGTTATTATAGTGTGACCCACATCCACACAGACACAGTTTGGCTGTGTGAGTAAAGAAGGATGTACTATAACGGGTTATTATAGTGTGACCCACATCCACACAGACACAGTTTGGCTGTGTGAGTAAAGAAGGATGTACTATAACGGGTTATTATAGTGTGACCCACATCCACACAGACACAGTTTGGCTGTGTGAGTAAAGAAGGATGTACTATAACGGGTTATTATAGTGTGACCGCTGTGCCTCCAACTCGGCCCAGCAAATACCAACACGGACCATCTCGTTTAACCAACCTTTAACTCAAACATTCTAATGTATGTTTATATCAACGACACAACATAAAACATTTATTACCTTTACCACGAGGGAGGGAGGAAGGCCCACAAATTAACATTTACTCACAAAATTAACAACAATAAACGAGACGGCCACCTTGGTTGATGTCGACCAGCTTCACCTTGTCCGATTCTCTCTCTTATCTTTCAGTAACTACAAGTTTTCATTATTAATACTATAATAAAAGCATTTTATTTATAAATGATACATAATATAAATAAATTATACTTTAATTATAATGTTTTATTGTTGATTAAATTCCCCCTAATAGATATATATTAATATTAAACTAAACTTAAGTCAGTGGCTGGAGAACCGAATAGCTTTACAACATTCACAATTTTACTAAAATAAATTTAAACAATAACATTTTGTGTTGAACTATTTTAAGTTTATTTATTAATATTTTATTAATATATAACACTACAGTATATAGAATCAGTAAACGAACGACTCTGTGGAACTAATTGTGTCGGTTAATGGAGGGACCAGTGAGGATATGTTAGTGACCCCTCCCTGGTGACAACCTTAACCTGACGTGGGTCAACACTCCACTATCCACCTATTTGAACCTTTATTAATGTGGAACAAGTCCATTATAAGAACAATTCACTGGACAATACTCACAGCAGTAGGTATAACCTGTAATATTTGATCACTAACTTGAACTATCATCATTATTGCTGTGGAATGTTCCTAAAAGTACAGTAATTATTTACCTATTATACAGTACAGCATTAATTTAATCCCAAGATTGATGCCAAAAAACTATATTTAAGTATAACTTAACCCAAATAAATTACCCCATTTGTTTGTAAAGTTTCCTGGCTTTTCCATGCAGTTGACACCCCAATAGTCTATGTTATTTATAAAACGTACATGAAGGCCTTTTAAAAAATACGGGCAAAGCCTAAGTAATCTACTTTAAATATCTAATTGTTTCAAAAAGTCATTAACATAATAACTAATTTGTGAACCCAGATTTAAAATCAGGTAAAGTAGTACCCTGTACCTTTGTAGGATATTTAAACTATTTTTTTACCCCAAGTGCTGAAGACAAAGGTATTAGGTCAGGAATATTTGACAAATATTTTGACAACGTGAAACTAACTTCATACAGTAAAGATGGTCAACATATTTAAGACCATCCATAAAGGCCTTTTAAAACTTACGGGCACAGCGTAATCTACTTAAAATATCTAATTATTTCAAAGGTCTTTAACACAATTACTTGAATTTTTAAACTGTGATCCCAGATCCTTAATAAAAACTAAAACCACAAAGATATACACTGTACTGTACCCTAGGTTATAACAGAAAGTTTCCAATGTGGTGCAGCAAGAGACCCGTTAACCAAAACAAACCTTCGTCTTGTGGCCCATATCTTACATCTTCACGTCACCTTCCTGGAATGAATAACATTTTAGCAACTAATAAATTAAATACTCTGGGCACTAATATTATATAATATGTATACAGTACTATACAGTATTATATTATACAGGAACTCATTAAATCTTCAAACATTTACAAACAATATTATGGTTAAATTAAGACATTTCCATAAAACTTATTAAAGTAAATAAAGAAACACTTTAGAAAATCTTACCTCGACGAATGACACGAGGAACTTCATTAACCACGATCAGCGAGGCAGCAATATGGTAGTTGTCTGAACACTACAGTAACAACCAATTGGAGCCGTAAACTGTAAACAAAATAACCGTTACTCTTTTTGTAGAAACTCAGATAATTTTTTGTTCCAACATGTTGGAGACGAAACAACCTTGTAAAGGATTGCCAACACGGTTTTATGCCGGGGCGCTCCTGCTTAACACAATTGCTCAAGGTACTGGATATTTGGACCCATAGTCTGGAATGGGGTGGTAATATAGACAATATTTACCTAGATTTTGCCAACGCTTTCGACAATGTACAAGAAAGGCTGAAAATCAAACTGGAAGGGTATGGAATTCGAGGAAATGTCCTAGCATGGATAGAAGACTTTCTACATGACCGCAAGCAGTGTGTGGCGTTTATTGGCACAAAATCGTCATCCGTACCTGCCACAAGCGGGGTACCACAGGGCAGTGTATTGGGCCCGCTGTTGTTTGTTTGTTTCATAATGACATGCCTGACGTTGTACACTCCTCCACACAAATGTTTGCGGATGTCGCCAAGTTATTTCGGGAAATCAAGAACCAAGCAGACTGCGAAGAGCTGCAGAAGGACCACAAGTTAACTCTGGTCAACAACTTTCTTAATACCACTTACTAGTCACTAATGGATAACACCTGGTAAATTCACAAGTTATATCCCACTGCCATAAGGGTTTAATTATCTATAAACAACGACATTGTGAAGAGTCTTGTGATTTTTCCTTTCCCAGAGAATTAAAATACCATCGAAGACAGAGTTTGGTTCGGTTAGGTTTGAATCCCACCAAATTGTTATTTTCCCCGAGAATTAAAACCTCACCATCGGACACATGATTTGGTTAGGTTAGGATCCCACCAAATAGTGACAAAAATGTAAATTTCTTGTCAAAAAATTAACTGCAATTTTACCGTAAAGTTCCCAAAATGTCTCAAAAGCTAATTTTTTACTGAAAACTGTAATTTAACTAGAATTAAAAAGTACCACATTCTTATAACTAATTTTTTTACTTCAATTAAATAAAAAAGACCGAAATACTTCCTCAAACAAATTTAACTTCAATTAAATAAAAAATCTTTCCCAAGATAAAAATGGCCCAAAATCCCACCTTGGTTAATATACAGTGGTCTCTCGGTTAACGAGCGCCTCGGTTAACGAGTTACCTCCCATATGATTTTTAACGAGTTTTTTTTATTAGCCGACCTCAACATGTTTTCGCTTGCACTTGGCGGTCAACCAGCTGTAGTATTAGTCTGCCAATACAGTAATCGGTTCTAGGGCTTAAATTCCGTACTATTTTATTAAATATCAATAAGTTTATACTATTCAATAATTTAAAAAGTTTAATAGTGAATCCTCACTTTATGCGGTTAATTCAACCCACAGCAGCCCGCGTAAAGTGAGAAACGCGTAAAGTGAACAACATAACATATGGGATTAATTGAAATAGAGACCGGGCCGACCCCCAAACTCCACTTTTTCAGACACAATACCTACGTTGTAGTAAAAATAACTTCTTAATTTTATGATGGTATGCACACACAATTAATAATTAAGAGAAATATCAATAATATTAGGTTTTTTAACACTTTTCATTAGTAGAAAAGATGGCTGGGCACATGGGGATGGGGGGTTGGTTCCGAGGCAGAGGGTAGATTATTGGCCCTCACCTGTATCACTATTGTTACGAACCCCTCCACCCAGCACTACGAACCACGCCATCTATTGTCTTGATCTACCTACCCAGCACCATGAGCAACGCCATCTAGGGACGAGACACGAGTATGACTCGTCTTAGTTACCACTACGGGGTTTCCCTTCTCCATATCCTGGTTGTTGCGTCACTTCCTCCAAGTCTTCTTTGTGAGCTCCAATTCGAGGAGAGAGGACTACACTCTGGGAAGTGACCACAGGATCATCTATCCTCTAAACCTACGGCACAGTGACTACCTACAGTCTTCTACAATACTCCGCCTTACTCGTCAGCCATCTCAGCTCCTCACTTAAGTATTTGTAATCTTGTATTGCCTCCCCCACGTCCACCTTGCTTCAAAATTGTTTATGTTGTATTAATATGTATATACTGTTAATGTTTAGGTTAAGTATGGTTAAGGGTAATTTATAGGAAGCTGAATATTTTGTTAAGGGATTTATGGTACTTTATTATACACAACGAAAACTCCCATCCTTTGTCTACCCTTTTATAGTCCGATTGTCTTTGTTTTGTTTTTTTGTTGCCTGTTGGGATCTGGGTAGACGTATAACTATATTCTAAATCCCCAACTCGTAACACTATCCACCACAGAGGCTTGCAGGGCCTCTTTGTCAAACCCCTCAAAGTCCATATAAGTCCATATCCTCACTATAATTATCACTATCACTGACTTGGGCCGGCTGTGGTGTGTGGCGGGTGAAGAACTCGATAATGTTTTGATGACTGGGTGACCTTGTGCGCACCCTGCTTGTGCCGCTCTCCGCGTAAAGGGGTACACGCACCGCGGAATGTGAGCATTCCGTGTTCGGCAGGGTACCGCGTAAACGTGGAAACGCGGAATGTGGGACCGCGTAAAGCGAGGGTTGACTTTATTAAATTTCTTAAGTCATTTTAACAATAATTGAACATAACTTAAGGTAAAGTCACTAGTTTTATGTGCGCCATCCAGCCTTTTAACACACCAAACCGGCGTTAGTCTCTCTCTGTTTTCAGTGGAGGGAACATCTTGCTTGAGACTCTCTTCAACTAAATGCTTTTTTTTTGTGTCTCCAAGCAAATTATTGGTCATTTTGAAATTTATTTTACATATTGACAATATATAGCACAGTGTAGTGTTATTTTAAAGAAAATATTCTTTATTTACAGCTAGTTTAACTTTAAAAATCACGTGTTGACATTGTTTGAATCTAGCATGGGGCCTAAGAGATCAAGAAAAGCGATTTCAATCCAAACCAAGCAGGAAATTATAAAAAAAACATGAACAAGACATTAGAACAAATGTGCTTAGCAAAGAATATGGCATGTAGACATCAACTGTGTCAACAATTCTTGCACAGAAAGACAAATTTAAAGAAGTGAAAGTGAGAGACAAATCTACCAGAGTGTTTAAAAGTAGATCCCTAATCGCAGAAACTGAGAGGTTACTTATCATCTGGATTAGGGAAAAACAGATGAAAGGTGATTCAGTTTCTACTGAATTCATTTGTGAAAGAGCCAGGGAGATTTACGAACATTTAAAGGAAGATCAACCTGGTTCTTCAGGCACAGAATTTGAAGATTTTCGGGCCAGCAAAAGCTGGTTCGAAAAATTTAAGAAAAGAAGTGACATTTTCAGTGTTGTTAGGCATGGTGAAGTTGCTAGTGCTGATAAAGAAGGGGCAGCAAAGTTTTTAGATGAATTTAAAAAACTGATGGAAGAAGAAAATTATCTTCCACAGCAAGTGTTCAATGTGGACGAAACTGGGCTGTTCTGGAAAAAGATGCCCAAAAGAACATTCATCACCAGAGATGAAGCCTCTTTACCTGGGCATAAACCCATGAAAGACCGTCTCACTCTATTGCTTGGTGCCAATGTTTCAGGGGATTTCCGACTGAAGCCCATGCTTGTCTACCACTCTGAGAACCCCAGGGTGTACAAGCAACAGAAAGTGGTAAGCACAAAGCTTGGAGTTTATTGGAAGTCCAACCGTAAGGCATGGGTGACAAGACAGCTCTTTAATGAATGGGCTGTTGATGTGTTTTGCCCTTCTGTCAAGAGCTACCTAACCACCAATAAACTCCCTTTAAAGGCTCTTCTCCTCATGGATAATGCTCCTTGTCATGACCCTGACCTTGCCAGCAATTTGGAGTATCAATTTGACTTTGTCAAAGTGTTGTTTTTGCCTCCCAACACTACATCAATCATACAGCCAATGGACCAGAATGTGATCAGCAACTTCAAGAAGTTGTACATGAAGAAAATGTTTAGGAGGTGTCATCAGGCAACTTCCAATGATCCTGAACTAACACTGAAACAGTTCTGGAAGACAATTCAACATCCTGGAGGCTGTAAAATTGATTGTGTCATCATGGCAAGAAGTCTCCACTAGATCCCTCAATTCTGCATGGAAAGCACTGTGACCATCAGTAGTCCATGATTTTGAGGGATTTGAGGAAGAAACAGAGTTGGACCAGGAGATTGTGTCCAATGGTCAGTCATTGGGCCTTGAAGTGGAGGAGGAGGATGTGGAAGAGCTTGTGCTGTCTCATGAGGAGGAACTTACTCCTGATGACTTGAAGCAACTGGATGAGATGTTACAGGTAGAGGCTGACAGTGGTGAGGAGGAAATTGAAAGTGATGACCATATGTCAGCTAAACAGTTGAAAGATGTGATTTACTACTGGGAGAAGTTCAGGGAACTGGCTTCAAAGCACCCAGAAGTGGAAAAAACTGAACTAACTTTGTGTCATGTTGAGGACTCAGTGGTCTCCTTCTTTAAACATAAGTTAATGGTGAGGAGGACAGATGCCCCACAGACCACAATTGACACTTTCTTCAGTAGAAGGCAGAGGGAACAAGATGCCATCCCTCAGCCTTCCACTTCAAGAAGGAGAGAGGATGTTCATGGTGGAGAATCTGTCAGTCCAGAGGTTCCTAACATTTTCATGGAAGGTGACTCACCTTCCAAGAAGCAGTAAAATGCTTCTCCTCCACCTCCACTTCCTTCTCTTCTCCCTTCTCCTCCTCCCACTTCAAATGCACATCATCATCATCATCATCCAGGAGCCTTCTACATACAAACCTCAAAGTAAGTGTACTTTTCTACCATTTTTTTTTAATTTAGGCAATTTTCGGTGAGCTGGAACCAATTACCCAAAAACCCATTGAAACAATGGTTTCGGTTAAAGAGATTTTCGGTTAACGAGCAACCTGCTGGAACGGATTGTGCTCGTTAACCGAGGGACCACTGTATAATAAAAGTATTTTATTAATAAATATTACATAATATAAATAAATTATACTTTAATTATAATGTTTGATTATTGATTAAATTCCCCCTAATAGATATATATTAATATTAAACTAAACTAAAGTCAGTGACTGGAGAACCGAATAGCTTGACAACATTTACAATTTTACTAAAATAAATTTAAACAATAAAATTTTGTGTTGAACTATTTTAAGTTTATTTATTAATATTTTATTAATATATAACACTACAGTATATAGATTCAGTTAACGAACGACTCCATGGAACCAACTGTGTCGGTTAATGGAGGGGCCACTGAGGATATTTTAGCGACCCTCCCTGGTGACAACCTTAACCTGACATGGGTCAACACTCCACTATCCACCTATTTGAACCTTTATTAATGTGGAACAAGTCCATTATACGAACAATTCACTGGACAATACTCACGGCAGTAGGTATAACCTGTAATATTTGATCACTAACTTGAACTATCATCATTATTGCTGTGGAATGTTCCTAAAAGTACAGTAATTATTTACCTATTATACAGTACAGCATTAATTTAATCCCAAGATTGATGCAAAAAAACTATATTTAAGTATAACTTAACCCAAATAAATTACCCCATTTGTTTGTAAAGTTTCCTGGCTTTTCCATGCAGTCGACACCCCAATAGTCTATATTATTTTTAAAACGTATATGAAGGCCTTTTAAAAAATACGGGCAAAGCCTATGTAATCTACTTTAAATATCTAATTATTTCAAAGGTCATTAACACAATTACAGTCAACCCTCGCTTTACGCGGTCCCACATTACGCGTTTCCACGTTTACGTGGTACCCTACCGAACACGGAATGCTCACTTTCCGCGGTGTGTGTACCCTTTTACGTGGAGAGCGGCGCGAGCAGGGTGCGCACAAGGTCGCCCAGTCATCAAAACATTACCGAGTTCTTCGCCCGCCACACACCACAGCCGGCCCAAGTAAGTGATAATGATAGTGAGGATATGGACTTATATGGACTTTGAGGGGTTTGACAAAGAGGCCCTGCAAGCCTCTGTGGTGAATAGTGATACAATTGATACAAGTGACACGGGTGAGGGCCAATAATCTGCCCTCTGCCTCGGAACCAACCTCCCATCCCCGTGTGCCCAGCCATCTCTTCCATTAATGTAAGTGTTAAAAAACCTAATATTATTTGATATTTCTCTTAATTATTAATTGTGTGTGCATACCATCATAAAATTAAGATGATATTTTTACTACAACGTAGGTATTGTGTCTGAAAAAGTGGAATTTGGGGGTCGGCCCGGTCTCTATTTCAATTAATCCCATATGTTATGTTGTTCACTTTACGCGGGCCGCCGTGGGTTCAATTGACCGCGTAAAGTGAGGGTTCACTTGAATTTTTAAACGGTGATCCCAGGTCCTTAATAAAAACTAAAACCACAAAGATATACACTGTACTGTACCCTAGGTTATAACAGAAGGTTTCCAATGTGGTGCAGCAAGAGACCCGTTAACCAAAACAAACCTTCGTCTTGTGGCCCATATCTTACATCTTCACGTCACCTTCCTGGAATGAATAACATTTTAGCAACTAATAAATTAAATACTCTGGGCACTAATATTATATAATAAGTATACAGTACTGTACAGTATTATATTATAGAGGAACTCATTAAATCTTCAAGCATTTAAATACAATATTATGGTTAAATTAAGACATTTCCATAAAACTTATTAAAGTAAATAAAGAAACACTTTAGAAAATCTTACCTCGACGAATGACACGAGGAACTTCATTAACCATGATCAGCGAGGCAGCAATATGGTAGTTGTCTGAACACTACAGTAACAACCAATTGGAGCCGTACACTGTAAACAAAATAACCGTTACTCTTTTTGTAGAAACTCAGATAATTTTTTGTTCCAACATGTTGGAGACGAAACAACCTTGTAAAGGATTGCCAACATGGTTTTATGCCGGGGCGCTCCTGCTTAACACAATTGCTCAAGGTACTGGATATTTGGACCCATATTCTGGAACAGGTGGTAATATAGACAATATTTACCTAGATTTTACCAAGTCTTTCGACAGTGTACCCCAAGAAGGCTGAAAATCAAACTGGAAGGGTACAGAATTAGAGAAAATGTCCTAGCGTGGGTAGAAGACTTTCTACATGACCGCAAGCAGTGTGTGGCGATTCATGGCACGAAATCGTCATCTGTACCTGTCACAAGCGGGGTACCACAGGGCAGTGTATTGGGCCCGCTGTTGTTTGTTTGTTTCATAATGACATGCCTGACGTTGTACACTCCTCCATACAAATGTTGCAAATGACGCCAAATTATTTCGGGAAATCAAGAGCCAAGCAGACTGTGAAGAGCTGCAGAAGGACCATAAGTTAACTCTGGTCAACAACTTTCTTAATACCACTTACTAGTCATTAATGGATAACACCTGGTAAATTCACAAGTTATATCCCACTGCCATAAGGGTTTAATTATCTATAAACGCCGATATTGTGAAGCGTCTTGCGATTTCTCCTTTCCCAGAGAATTAAAATACCATCGAAGACATGATTTGGTTAGGTTAGGTTTGAATCGCACCAAATTGATATTTTCCCCGAGAATTAAAACCTCACCATCGTTCACACGATTTGGTTAGGTTAGGATCCCACCAAATACAGTGGCAAAATGTAAATTTCTTGTCAAAAAATAAACTGCAACTCTACAGTAAAGTTCCCAAAATGTCTCAAAAGCTAATATTTTACTACAAACAGAAATTTAGCCATAAATAAAAAGTACCACATTCTTATAACCAAATTTTTTTACTTCAATCAAATAAAAAAAATCTTTCCCAAAATAAAAATGACCCAAAATCCCACCTTGGTTAATATATAGGACTAATCCGCCATAGTGCCCATGCTGCTGTATCATCTCACATCCAGAAAATGTCTCAAATATCACCGTATAGTAAGTTTTTTCTGTTTAATATACCGGGGAAGTTAGGTTAGGTAGGTTTGTTTGGTTAGGTCTGTCCTTCATAACCACAAATGTTCAGTAGCGTATAATTAAAAAACATCCATTTACTAACCTTACCGCAAACAGTGGCCACTATAATATAACAAAAGTAACTTGACAAAATTATCATAAAATTATCCTAAAAGTAATAAACTACAGAAAAGTAACAATTCCCAAACGTAAAGTGACGTAAACTCCACAAGTAACAAAACTTATCAAACATAAAAGTAACAAATACTCAACAGGAAAATAATAATATACCTCAAACTATCAAACTATTTCCTTAACATTGTTCCATTGACAATTTCTTCCAGTAGTTTACATAAATAAGCAGCAGCAGTTATTGGTCCACTTGCCTTCACCATCTACCTGTTAATTAATACCTACACCACACACCTGCACCATAAACACACTATATACCTGCACCATAAACACACTATATACCTGCACCATAAACACACTATATACCTGCACCATATGCCTACACCACACACCTGCACCATAAACACACTATATACCTGCACCATATGCCTACACCACACACCTGCACAATAAACACACTATATACCTGCACCATAAACACACTATATACCTGCACCATATACCTACACCACACACCTGCACCACACCTAGTTGGTCCCAGATGGGCCTAGTTGGTCCCAGATGGGCCTAGTTGGTCCCAGATGGGCCTAGATGGTCCCAGATGGACCTAGTTGGTCCCAGATGGGCCTAGTTGGTCCCAGATGGGCCTAGTTGGTCCCAGATGGGCCTAGTTGGTCCCAGATGGGCCTAGATGGTCCCAGAAGGACCTAGTTGGTCCCAGATGGGCCTAGTTGGTCCCAGATGGGCCTAGTTGGTCCCAGATGGGCCTAGATGGTCCCAGATGGACCTAGTTGGTCCCAGATGGACCTAGTTGGTCCCAGATGGGCCTAGTTGGTCCCAGATGGACCTAGTTGGTCCCAGAAGGACCTAGTTGGTCCCAGATGGACCTAGTTGGTCCCAGATGGACCTAGTTGGTCCCAGATGGACCTAGTTGGTCCCAGATGGGTCTAGTTGGTCCCAGATGGGCCTAGTTGGTCCCAGATGGGCCTAGTTGGTCCCAGATGGGCCTAGTTGGTCCCAGATGGGCCTAGTTGGTCCCAGATGGGCCTAGTTGGTCCCAGATGGGCCTAGTTGGTCCCAGATGGTCCTAGTTGGTCCCAGATGGGCCTAGTTGGTCCCAGATGGGCCTAGTTGGTCCCAGATGGACCTAGTTCAACCATAGGTTGGATGTTTATATGAGCAATAGGGGCTGGGTGGACTGCCCCGCCATTCTTATGTTCTACTGTACTGTGTCTAGTTAACACGGCCATACATAATGTTAACTCACCACGAGGGAGGGAGGAAGGACCACAAATTAACATTTACTAACAAATTAACAACAATAAACGAGACGCCACCTTGACCAGCTTCACCTTGTCCGATTCTCTCTCTTATCTTTCACTAACTACAAGTTTTCATTATTAATACTATAATAAAAGTATTTTATTTATAAATTTTACATAACATAAATAAATTATACTTTAATTTTGATGTTTTATTATTGATTAAATTCCCGCTAATAGATATATATTAATAATAAACTAAACTTAAGTCAGTGGCTGGAGAACCGAATAGCTTGACAACATTGAGAAATACACTAAAATAAATTTAAACAATAACATTTATTGTTTAACTATTTTAAGATTATTTATTAATATATAACACTATTTATAAGGTTGTAACACTATAATAAAGTGGGGATTTTAACTCTTCATAATAATATTATTAAGGGTAAGAGTTATACTGGCTGTATAAGACAACTGGGAGCTTACTGCCCCAGTAGTCCTCCCACTGTTAAACACACTGCTAAGCAACACATCCTTCTTTATTAATATATAACACTATTTATAAGGTTGTAACACTATAATAAAGTGGGTATTTTAACTCTTCATAATAATATTATTAAGGATAAGCGTTATAATGGCTGTATAAGACAACTGGGAGCTTACTGCCCCAGTAGTCCTCTCACTGTTAAACACACTGCTAAGCACATCCTTCTTTATTAATATATAACACTATTTATAAGGTTGTAACACTATAATAAAGTGGGTATTTTAACTCTTCATAATAATATTATTAAGGGTAAGAGTTATACTGGCTGTATAAGACAACTGGGAGCTTACTGCCCCAGTAGTCCTCCCACTGTTAAACACACTGCTAAGCAACACATCCTTCTTTATTAATATATAACACTATTTATAAGGTTGTAACACTATAATAAAGTGGGTATTTTAACTCTTCATAATAATATTATTAAGGGTAAGCGTTATAATGCTGTATAAGACAACTGGGAGCTTACTGCCCCAGTAGTCCTCCCACTGTTAAACACACTGCTAAGCAACACATCCTTCTTTATTAATATATAACACTATTTATAAGGTTGTAACACTATAATAAAGTGGGTATTTTAACTCTTCATAATAATATTATTAAGGGTAAGAGTTATACTGGCTGTATAAGACAACTGGGAGCTTACTGCCCCAGTAGTCCTCCCACTGTTAAACACACTGCTAAGCAACACATCCTTCTTTATTAATATATAACACTATTTATAAGGTTGTAACACTATAATAAAGTGGGTATTTTAACTCTTCATAATAATATTATTAAGGGTAAGCGTTATACTGGCTGTATAAGACAACTGGGAGCTTACTGCCCCAGTAGTCCTCCCACTGTTAAACACACTGCTAAGCAACACATCCTTCTTTATTAATATATAACACTATTTATAAGGTTGTAACACTATAATAAAGTGGGTATTTTAACTCTTCATAATAATATTATTAAGGGTAAGAGTTATACTGGCTGTATAAGACAACTGGGAGCTTACTGCCCCAGTAGTCCTCCCACTGTTAAACACACTGCTAAGCAACACATCCTTCTTTATTAATATATAACACTATTTATAAGGTTGTAACACTATAATAAAGTGGGTATTTTAACTCTTCATAATAATATTATTAAGGGTAAGCGTTATAATGGCTGTATAAGACAACTGGGAGCTTACTGCCCCAGTAGTCCACCCACTGTTAAACACACTGCTAAGCAACACATCCTTCTTTATTAATATATAACACTATTTATAAGGTTGTAACATAAGTTCGTCAAGATCGTCTTAGTGAGGTGAAAGTGTAAATCGATGTCGGACTTTTCATGCTAGACACGATTGTATTTTTGAAAACTCAATTTCCACCGAGTTGGAGGTACAGCCAGGGTCACAGGCCTATAACCACACAATCACTGCCACATGACAAAGCTTTTATTTTATTTTATTTTTTAGGGTGTTGTGGTCACGGCTGTGATAAAGGCCAACCAGGGAGTGTAGTACTGTGCCTTCAGTTAAATCAGTTCATAGTTGTCATCAGTGAATGCAGAAGAGACTATAATAACTTAAAGTGAATACATATTGGCAATCGAGCTGGTAAGGACAACTGCCAGCCTATTCGTGTCATAGGTGCCACAGAGACTTTAAATTTTATTTTGTTTGTGTGCTTGCTCAAGGACTGAATCTGTGTTTATAATACACCACTCACAGGGAGATACAGTGTACACAGTGATAGTTCATAGTGTCATCAGTGACCGCTGAAGTTGTAAATAACTTAAAGTGAGCGCTCACTAGCAAGCAAGCTGGAAAGGCACCGTGCCAGCTGAAACCAAGTCGTGTCATAGGTGCCACAGAGACTTTAAATTTTATTTTATGTTGATTGTGTGCTTGCTCAAGGACTGAAACTGTGCCTACAATACACCATTCACAGGGAGATACAGGGTACGCAGTCGCAGACGACAACTCCATAGGCAACAGAGAGTAGCTAAGTACTTTTTTCTCTCTTTATTTTCTTTGAAATAGGTGTAGATCTATACACAGTCTACACCCCCCCCACAACAACAACAACCATGAGTTTGGTATGTGATTACTGCAGGGAGACGTCGGATATGGAGGATGCAGGCCTAACTAATGCAACGTCTAGGAAGTTACTAACTGCCGTAAAGCTTGATGGCTGTTGCTGGTATTGCCCTGGCTGCATAGTCAAGGTGAATGAAGCGATTGCAATCCATAAGGGAACGAGTTCTCTAGGGACGAAAATAGATGAAGCAGGAGCCCTGCTGGTTGACAAACTGGAGCAAGTTGAGAAAGAGATCCTTGCTAAGACTGAGGAAGTAGCTAATAGAATGGAGGTGGTTGCTAAGAGGAGTTATGCTGACGTATTAGGAGGGCCACGGGGGGGGGGGCGGAGAGTAATGCAGAATCAGTACAGGTTCTACAGCAGATTGGGACTCTGAAAAAGTGTGTCGAAGAAATGAAAATTAACGGACCTACTGTTAGGGGAGAGGAGGAACACCAGGAACGGCTCCAGCGCAGGAACAATGTAATAGTTTTTGGAGTCCCAGAGAGCCAGGCAGAGGGAACTGTGAGTAAGGAAACACACGACAAGGTGCTGTTTCAAAATATTTGCACAGAGGTTCTGAAGATTCCAGCAACCCCTCAGGATGTGAGGAGACTGGGACAAAAGCAGGGGGCTAAGCCTCGCCCCCTCAGGATCACATTAGGGAGTGAGGAGGAAAAATGGCAAGTTATCCGGCAGGCAAAAAACTTAGCAAGGAGCGAGGCATTTCGAGATGTATTTATTCACCCAGACCGCACGGTAATGCAGAGGGAACAGCACAAGAAGCTCCTGCTGGACTTGAAGCAGAAGAGGGAGGAGTCGAGAAGGAACGGGGACAGGTGCACATGGGTTATTCTCAGGGGGAGGGTAGTGGAAACAAGTGTGCCGACACAGGGCCAGGGGGCAGCAGTGCACCCTCCACCCACTCAACCCCCCACCCGGGAGGCGGCACCGGCTCAGCCTACCGGACAGGAGGGAACGAGCGCCGTGTAAACAATGAAATTTTTAACCACACCCTGCAAAATACAGTGTACTTAGCAAATGCTGCAGCTTCTGAGAATGTGGGTGGAGCGGGTTTATTACTAAGAGCAGAGACGTTACCGAGAACAAATTCTGGCTTGAATGTTATGTACACTAATACCGACACGTTCCTGGATAAGAGGGAGGAGTTTGAAACACTACTAAGAGTACACCAACCAGATATTGTAGGAGTTGTAGAACTGTTGTACAAGAACAGGAGAATCGACCCAGAGGAATGTGAGTTCAGTATTGCTGGATATGACTCATTTACGAACCTAACTCAAGAATCCTGCAGGAGGGGTGTGGTTATCTACGCTAGGCAAGACCTTAGAGCCAGCCAGGCGAGGGTACAGGGAGAGGATGTCTTTGAAGAGTCCAAGTGGTGTAAAATTAAATTAAAGGGAGGGGACTTACTTATCGTCGGGTGTATCTACAGATCCCCGAACTGTAGCCCACTAAATCAAAGGAACTTAAGAACCTTAATAAACAATGCGGCGATGCTCAACCCCAGCCACCTCCTTATCATGGGGGACTTTAACTATGGCGACATCGACTGGAGAAACGAGTCAACCCCGAATGACTTGAATAATCCTGCTACTCTTTTTGTAGAAACTCTGAGAGATAATTTTCTGTTCCAACATGTGAGAGACCCGACACATTACAGAGGGGAACAAACACCCAAGCCACTTGACCTCATCATAACAAACGAGGAGGGTATGGTGGCCAAACTGGAACACCTTGCCCTAGTTGGCACCAGTCACCATACAGTGTTGTCATTCAGATTTAACTGTTACCTAGTTCAAGATAAGGCCAGGCCAAGGTGCAAATATTACAAGGGAAATTACAATGGGATGAGGGAAGAGATGAGGGGTATCAACTGGCCTGACTTATTAAGGTACAAGAACGCAGACACTACGCAGAATATCATAACTAGTAAAATGACCCATTTGATCGATAAATATATACCCAAGACCAAACCCAGTGCTTCTAGGAATACGAGGGGATCCCTACACATGAACCATGCGGCTGTCGACAAAATTAAGAAGAAAACCCAGAAATTCAAGACGTGGGTTGGGTCAAACGATGAGCAAGACAGGAGGATGTATGCAAGAGCCAGAAACCAAGCAAAGATAGAGTGTAGGAGGGCTGAAAAGGAGTTCCAAAGGCTGGTTGCACGCGAGGTCAAGTCAAACCCAAAGGCGTTTTACCGCTATGCAAAGTCGAAATTGAAAACGCGAGTAGGAGTATCAGACCTGAGACTTGAAGATGGTAGTTACGCAGATTCTGACCAGGATAAAGCTGAGGCATTGAACAGCTTCTTTTCCTCAGTGTTCACAAGAGAGGATGCAACTAACCTTCCTGCGTTTGAGGACAGACGGTTCGACAGCACTGACCCACATTGTGTTCACAGAAGAGGGTATTAGAAATAAACTGTCCAGGCTAAAGGTCCATAAGAGTCCTGGACCTGACATG